TTTTTATATATTTTATATATTTATATATATTATATATATATGTATATATGATAAATATATCAAAATTCATGTGGGTACTCAAATGAAAGCTCTTGATGAGTGTAACATCAGGATGAGCTTATATCTTTAAAATATACATTATATATATGTATATATGAAAAATATATCAAAAATGCATGTGGGTACTCAAATGAAAGGTCTTGATGAGTGTAACATCGGGATGAGCTTATATCTTTAAAAACTTCAATATTTAAGAAAGTACAGTGCAATTTAACAAAAGTCATTATTTAATAAAGGAAAATTTTATTTATTAATAGTTCACAAGTCACGGCAGTCACATAGTGACTGCAAGGTTGCTAGTATTATTATTAATTAATTATTAATATTATTTTTGTTATTATTAATTATTAAATTATAATTATAATAAGTAGGGATGTAAAATACTATATTTAAAGTAGGGCTACCATTCATCCCAACAGTAAATAAATTATAAAAAATTTTTCATGAATATAAATTATATTTTAATAATATCCTGCAGATATACAATGACTAATGGACAAGATAAAATGTAAACGAGGCCAGCACTAATACTAGCAGCCAAGGCACTAGCTGGATGTCTATTGAAGCCATTATACGAGTGGTTTTTCCCATTACTTCTCAATACTTGGTCAATCCACCTTTTATAATACGCAACATTGGTATAAAAACCGGGCAATTTCGGTCTTGCGCATCCTCTTCCGCCTGATACGATTCCAACCAACAGATCTCCGCATACAAGCGGTCCTCCGGAATCACCCTGATACATATAAGTGCAAAACTTGTTGATAAAATCTTATAATTACTTTATTACTTACAATAACTGATAATTAATCAATCACCTGACACGCGTCTTTTCCTCCTTCTATGTATCCAGCGCAAATTATGCTTGGATGCATGTTTACGATCCCCCACAGTAATTTGCCACAGTAGTCATAACTAATTATCGGTAAATGCACGTACATTAATTCGTCAACGGAGCTTCTGTTATTCTTAAAATATTATTCAGTTAGCTGGTTCAAAAATTTAGTCTTCTTTTATTAATTAAAGGGTTATACGCACTTTTAATTATTAAAAAATCGATTTTTTTTTCTTTCAGTTTTATAATGTATATATTTTATATTAATATAAATAATTAAATGTAATTGAAAAATTTTTTTCATATCAATCACTGAAAAAATTTCTTCAGAAAAAAATGATTAAAAAAAATTTTTTTTTAGCCTTTTAAGTGCGTGTAACCTTTTAAGGGGTCGCTAGACCACCGGGTCTCCTCAATGTTAAAATTACCTCTGCAAGGTGTCCCCAACCTGCGACAGTACAGTTTGTTCCTGCTGATGGCGTTGACTTTGACAGTGGAATCGGCTGTAAGGATGTTGAAAATACAAACGGGGATTGTAGCTAGAAGAATTTAATTACTGATTTAATTGTAAGTTACAGATGAGTTTAAATATTGTTTAGTACACGGTGAGAAGAATTAATTATCATCACTCTTGATGATAATTAATGGTGAATATTAAATAACTAATAATTACGGATATTAAAGCGATGTCATTGGCAAGACTTCTCATATCAAACCGGGGATTGACAACAAGCTGGTCAGCATTTCGAATTTGCCGGTGAAATGAATGATATGTGTATATGTTAGTCTCACCTGCAACAACAACGAGTCCCCATTGTGGCACTAGTGATTTATCTCTAAATTATAAAATTTAACAGTCAGTAGACAAAAAAATTGCATTAATAATTTTTGTTTTTTTTTTTTTTCTAACAAATTTTTAATAAATAAAGCAATTTCACCTTACTACACAGTGAGCAGCAGTTAAAACCCATCTATCAGTAATGATACTCGCCCCGCAAAAATGTTGTACAATAGTCCACCTTTTCTGCAGAGAAGCTATAAACGGAAATTGTGCATACGTCGCTTTTTCACCGTTTACTATTCTTCCCGTCCATCTGGCGTTTCTGTTCAATACAGCGATTTTTTGAGCTCCTAAATAAACAATTCTAGTAAATTCTAATAAATTATGTAATTAAATATTTAATTTGAGCAAAAAAGGATTTAAGATAATACTGAAGTTATGATACTAAAGTTAGCCGACGTTTTTAATTTTTGGATTTTTTTTTTAATAATTAAATTAGAAAAAAAAAATATTTTTTAAAAATTGCACTGCCAGTTTTTAAAGTTTTTTACAAATGTAATTTTTAAAAAAATTTTTTTGTTATTATTTTTTCAATTAAAAAAAATTATAAAAATTTTTAGATGTCGGCTAACTTAATTTTCATACTGAAGTTAGCCGTCAGCTGTCAATTTTAAAAATTTAAAAAAAAAATAAATTACAATAAAAAAATACTTGTAAAAATTTTCACTTGTACCTAATTTTTATTAATTTTCACATGTGGAATTTTTTAATTAAATTTTTTTTATGATAATTTAATTGTTATAAAATTCTAAAAAAATTTTTAATATCTGTCAACTTCAGTGTCATGATTTAAGCTGAAATTTTAAAATTTTAGTAATGTCACATTGTAGGTTACTTAACAAAAATTAAAAAAATGAAGAATGTAATAAAGCAATCATAATTACCAGTAACATGAGACAATCCGCTGAATAAAATAATCAACAAACACCAAGTACTCAAATACATTTTTTTTTAATATATATATGAGTAATAAAAGTAAAATTTAATAGAAAAAAGTTGCTGTCAATCATATCAACATAACATTTCACACTGACTCGATGACAACCGATACATTGTAAATTTACAATAAGAAGTACTACAGATTTGTTATCGAAAGTAAAAGGATTATCTTTGTTGTGTTATCAATTATCTGGCATTGATGTGGAAATTCCAAATCTCATTTTTATCAGGTTACTTCCTCGGATTTTAGCAATTTATCTCAGTAATATTCGATATAATATTTATAGCTAGTCAAATTAAAAACGTCAAATAACTTTTATTGACATTTTGTCAAATAAAATTTATTTAAAAAAGCTGGTGTATTTAATTATTAATCCTTATCACCAGGTCAATGATCAAAAATTGTCAAATTATTATTAAAATCAAGTTAGCCGACATCTAAAAATGTTTTTAATTTTTTTATAAAAAATTATGATCTAAAGTTAACCGACGTTTTTAATTTTTTGATTTTTTTTTTAATAATTAAATTAGAACAAAAAAATATTTTTTTAAAATTGCACTTACAGTTTTTCAAGTTTTTAACAATTGACAATTTTTTTTCTTTTTTTTTGTAGTCATTTTCTCAATAAAAAAATTTTTTTTAGTTTTTGAATGTCGGCTAACTTAATTATGATTAAAAAATTAAACGTTTTCAAAAAACCAATTTTCTTAAAATTTATAATTCAAAAATTACATTTATTAATTTATTAGAGTTGATTTTTTTTTTTTAATTAAAATAAAATTGCAAGTGTCAATAATTGGGTCTTTTACCTTAGTACTTATCCTTTACTTTAAATGAAAATTAAGTTAGCCGACATCTAAAAACTTTTAGAATTTTTTTTTTATCGAAAAAATCATTACAGAAAAATAAAAAAAAATTTTCATTTGTAAAAAACTTGAAAAACTATAAGTGCAATTTTTTAAAAATATTTTTTAGTTCTAATTTAATAAATGAAAAATAATCAAAAAATTAAAAACGTCGGCTCACTTTAATGACATTTACTTTAATCATAAAATTTAATGAAAATTAATTTAGCATATATTTAATAATTTTAAGAATTTTTTAACAAATAAATTATGGCAAAAAAAATTAGAAATAAAAATTGACATATAGAAATTTTAAAAAATAAAAAGTGCAATTTTTATGATGATAAATTTAGCAGATATTTAATAATTTTTAGAATTTTTTTTAACAAATAAATTATGGCAAAAAAAAAATATAAAAAAAATTGACATGTAGAAATTTTGAAAAATTAAAAATGCAATTTTTTAAAAATAATTTTTTTGAGCAAATTTTTTTGTTAAAAAAAATTAAAAAATTCTCTACACGGAAAGAACAAGATGACACTGGATACCATCTCAGATTATACTCAGTGACATCTGAGGCGAAAAAAATTTTCAGATGGTAGCTAGTATAATCCAGATTATACTGAATAATATCTGGATTATACTCATTGTAATCTGGATTATACTCATTGTTATCTGGATTATACTAGCTACTATCTGAATTTTTTTTCATTCAGTATAATCTGGGATTGTATCCAGTATAATCTTGTTCTTTCCGTGTAGTGACTGCTAACTTTAATGTCATGCAATTTTTTAAAAATAATTTTTTAGAACAAATTTTTTTTTTAAATAAAATAAAAAAATTTTAAAGTGACTGCTACTTAACTTTAATTTCATTAAAATTTATGTTAATCGCTCAAAAAAATTTTTATTAATCCAACAAGAAACATTTCAGGTTTCGTTTTAATTTACTGTGTGTAAGCACGTTCACTTTAGTACCGGCACTCTCCGCTAGCGCTTTGATTGTACAGTTTGCAACCTTCTAGCCCAACTGAGAAACATAAAAAATTTCTACTGAAGGACTACTAGCAAACTGCAAGTAAACTGACAGACAGTAAGTACTGCGTATAAAATATAATGTTTTTCTTGTTTTTCAGTGGCTGACATACGCCGCGGCTTCTTCTGGCTGATGGCGTAGTGCAGCATATATAGTGAAAAATATAACCCGAGTTTCTGGTAAAAAAAAAAAAATAAAAACTGGTGACTGGTGACTACTGACTAACCAATTCGGTCTCGACATAATATAACATATATATATATATAATATTAGCATAAGACACATAAATTACAAGTACACGAAAGTAACGAGGACGAAGAACACTCGTCGGAATTAATGCCACGATGGCTGATACAAGTTCAAACGATATCCTGACGATGGAAAAAATAGAAAATAATGTTGAGGTAAAAAATTCATTTTTTATTTATTTATTGATATTTAATATTTGTATTAATTGTAATTTATTAATTACATGTAATTTAATCTAATAATCATTTGAAATAGTTTAATTATTGATGACGATTAAATGTTTTATACTATTGTGAATTGACAGGTTGCTGGAGCTGGTGAAGCTTTAGTGTCAAACAGTAATGACGTTGCCGATCTTGAATTCCAGGCGACTCAGGCAATTTACAGGCTAGAAGAAGCCGCTGACAACCCAGCTAATGCTGGCAATTCTGCTTGGAATAATCCTTCGGGATTTCTTATTCATCCCAAGACTCCGGAATCAGTGTTGTCATTAATGCAGGTTAAAAATTATTTTTATTTATGTAGAGTATTATTTATGTTACTGTTAGAGAATTCAATTGAATCTCATGCTTTATATCAGCTGATAAAAAAATTGATAGTATGTTTCCGGTAAAAAAATTTTGCTGGTCTATCAAAAGTATTTAATTTTTACTTTAATTAAACTGAAATCAGCCGACACTTTTATCATTTTTTAATTTAATTTATTTATTTATTTATATACTTATATGATGACAGTAAAGTTAGCTATTACTTGACAAATTTTTAATTTTATTTAACAATTAAATTAATTATAAAAAATTATTTTTAAAAAATTGCATTTTTAATTTTTTTAAATTTCTACATGCCAAATTTTTTTTTTTAATTTTTTCTTGCCATAATTTATTTGCTAACAAAAATTACAAAAATTATTGGATATCTGCTAAATTAATTTTCATACTTAGGTATATGCCAATCGGCTTTATGCGGTAATCGGAAAATATTTTTAAGTTACGAAAAATTCATATTATTTCATTAAAATTATTATAAAATATCACACCCACAATTTTCCTGAAAAACAAACATCCCCAGAATGATCGCTCCATTTTTTGTTACAAAAAAAAAAATTTTCTGGGTCTATTTTTTCCGCTTTATACATATTGGTAATACAAAATTTTGAGAGTAATTAATATGAAAAAAATTATAATAGAAGAAATACGTCGGCCGCGATAGCCGTGCGGACTAATGCGTTAGTCTGTACGGGTATCTTTTTTGAAAAGAAGTTTATTTGCTTTATTTTAATTACATAGGTTTTACAATAAATATTCGGCTGCAAATCAACTTAAAAACTAGCCATTATGTTATGTTTATTAATAAGATATTAGTCTCCGTGTGTGGAGCTACTCATATCAATCGTATATGTGGATCTGAATTATTAGAACCTAAATATTTTGTTAATTAAATATGTATTGAGAGGTATCCAATTAGGATATAAATTCTTGTTAGTTGAGTATGTTGGTACGTTGTTGCTGTCTTGTATGATGCCTTTTTTGTCAAAGTAGATAAACGCTTGGGGTGGTAGGCAAGCTGAGTTGTGGTTCGTGATGTAGATCTGTTGGTCAGGTGTTTCCAAGATCTTTTCAATTTCTTTATTCTCAATTGAAGAGAATTTCGCAAAGTAATCTCGCGTTAGCTTAATTATAAAATTGTCGATCCGGGGGATGTTAGCAATGTTGTATAGAGTTTCATTGCTGATTTGCTTCTTGAAGTTGGACTCACGAGAGCGGTATACCCTCAGGCAAGTCCTAATACATTTGCGATCCAGGACTCGGATTTTTTCCATAAAGGATGCGCTGGTGTTCCACCAGTCTGTACGGGTATCGTGCCGGTAGGCGCGGGTTCGAGCCCCAGCGGTTGTTAGAAAATTGAATTCAATAACAACCGCTGAGGGTCGCTCTCGTAGCCGAACTGTACTGACCAGGTTTTCTGTGGTTTTCCTTGGTCACTGTGCTAAAGCTTAAATGGGCAGGCACAGGCAAATGAGTACAGTACTTGTAAGTCGGCCACAGCCGCTACCTCGAACGCATTGAGGTGGGGTAAAAGAAATCTACCTCACCGAGAGGGTGGGAATAAAAAGGGGGGAGGAGAAAAAAAGTGTGCTTGTTACATGTATGAAAAAACGTAGTGGAAAAACAGGCGAGAGAAAAAGTGGAAATCCCCACCCTCTCCTTGTAAAAACACACGGTTGTATACAAGTAAAAATCACATTTTTTTTTTTTTTTTTTTTTTTTTTTTTTTTTTAATAGAAGAAATACTACACGGAAAAAAGAAAAATAGAAAAATTACATTATATATTATAAAGTAGCGCTCCGTGATGAAAACTGGAAAAATTACAGTTTAAGAATGTAATTATTACAGATTTTATAGAAATTACATAATAAAATGTAATATTTACCTTGAAAACTCTAAAAATTGACATTCAAAGTTTGAATTTAGAAAAATGTTATTTCGAACTTTTTTTTTTAAAATAAAAATTATTTGCTTATAATTATTAATTTTAGTGTTATTGTCATTATTAGTTTTCATGATACTGAAAATTTTTTACAATAATTTTGAATAAAATTAAAAAACTTATCAATTTACAGGACCTTGTAATTCATGAAGATATTCCTCAAGACGATGAACTAGAATCGCAATCAAATCAGTTAACAGCCTTGCCAACACTGACAGAAGCTGCACGAGTAGCCCTGGTGGCTCACTCGGTGTCAGCATACGCAGTGGCTTTGCCAAGAACACACGCACAAAGACTAGCAGCTCGATTGGCTGCGGATACCACACGATGGCTCAGTCACATCTTTCATTTCGTCGACTGCGCTTCTTCTTTTCACGAAGATCATCTGGAAGGCCTAGTGCGAGTGACCAGACTTGCTCTTCACAAAAAGTACCCCAAGTATTTAGAGGAAGGGTTCTCTGCTTTGGCTTCTTCGCCCCCTCTAATTTACAGCTCCATCGCAGCTCCCTTGGGGGTTGTCAAGCATCTTTGTCGACAGGTTTGTTTTATCAAAACTAATCTATATTATTAAGAGAATAAGCAAAATTTTTCTGGCCAGTGTATTTATATGATAAAACGGGTTTTTATGGTTGAATTTGGTATCATTAGAAAGGTCTTGACCTGGAGTTGTGCCTTTTCAAGGTTTCATATCATTCTCACCAATAGTCAATTTATAATAATAAGTATTTAGGCTACATTCGAAAATGCTCTATCCTTAGATACATAATTAAGAAATGACCTTGTATCTGGTGAACTATTGACATTTTTAAAAATATAAGCTCATCTCGATGTTACACTCATCGAGACCTTTCATTTGAGTACCCACATCAATTTTTCATATATTTTATATATTTATATATATGTATGTATGAAAAATGTATCAAAAATGCATATGGGTACTCAAATGAAAGCTCTTGATGAGCGTAATATCAGAATGAGCTTATATCTTTAAAAATATCAATAATTAAGAAATGACCTTGTATCTTGTGAACTATTGACATTTTTAAAGATATAAGCTCATCTTGATGTTACACTCATCGAGACCTTTCATTTGAGTACCCACATCAATTTTTCATATATTTATATATATGTATATATGAAAAATATATCAAAATGCATGTGGGTACTCAAATGGAAGCTTTTGCTGAGTGTAACATCGGGATAAGCTTACATTTTTAAAAATATCAATAATTAAGAAATGACCTTCTATCTTGTAAGCTATTGACATTTTTAAAGAAATAAGCTCATCCCGACATTACACTCATCGAGACCTTTCATTTGAGTACCCACATCAATTTTGATATATTTTTCATATATACATATATATAAATATATGAAAAATTGATGTGGGTACTCAAATGAAAGTTCTTGATGAGTATAACATCGGGATGAGCTTATATCTTTAAAAACGTCAATATTCAGGAAAGTACAGTCCAATTTAACAAAAATCATTATTTAATAAAGCATAATAATAATAATAATAATAATTCATAATAAAAAAAAAATGTGTTAATAATTTTAGCTTTCACTGCCATTGAATTGTATTCGTCCGATTCCACAAAACACAATGTTTGGATCGCGACAAACCATGGACATCTCTGCGCTAGAGAGACGCTTAGTCGAGGACACAAGTATTAACGGTGTAACGCCGCTTTTAGTATTAGCTGAGGTCGGTACTGTCATAACTGGGCACTGTGATAATGTATCAAGACTTCGGGAAATTTGTGACAAGTACAATGTTTGGTTACATCTTCGTGGTCATTCATTGGCTGCCCTTGCATTAAATAATGCCCCTAAAGACTTGGTATTTATTTTATAAATAATTAATCTAATTTTTCAGTCAAAGAACCCTTCAGTTAATTTTAATAAATATTTTAGCCGTCAAAAATCGCTGACAGTATTACACTGCCTCTGGGTGCGTGGTTAGGCATACCATCGTTACCAGTAGTAACTTTATACAGACTAACAGACAGTAAAGGAGACAAACCGACTCAAAGAGACACAACTCTAAGTCTAGTGTCAGGTTTGATGGCCGAATCTCTATCTCGGCGGCTACCGACACTGCCTCTTTGGGTGGCTCTCCAAGTTCTCGGGCGAGATGGAATCCAAACGAGAATAAAACAGTGCTTCCAGATTATCGAACAACTTTATAATAAAATAAAAAAGTTTCCTAATATTAAATTTTTGGTAAGTGACATTATCATTTATATTTATCATTAAGAGTATATATATCATATTAGTAATTTAATGAAATTTAATGTCATTGCAAAGGTCTCGATTCGAATTTATGCCTTTTCAAGGTTTCATATCATTCTCATCGATAGACAATTTATTATGATAAGTATTTAGGCTGCATTCGAAAATGCTCTGTCTTTAGATACATAATTAAGAAATGACCTTGTATCTTGAGAACTATTGACATTTTTAAAGATATAAGCTCATCTCGACATTACACTCATCGAGACCTTTCATTTGAGTACCCACATCAATTTTTCATATATTTTATATATTTATATATTTTACAAATACCACATATATAAAATATATAAAAAATGCTATGTGGGTACTCAAATGGAAGCTCTTGTTGAGCGTGACATCGGGATGAGCTTATATTTTCAAAAACGTCAATAGTTAAGAAAGCACAGTGCAATTCAACATAATCAAGAAATGACCTTGTATCATGTGAATTATTGATATTTTTGAAGATATAAGCTCACCCCGACATTAAACTCATCAAGACCTTTCATTTGAGTACCCACATCAATTTTTCATATATTTATATATATTATGTATATGTATATATGAAAAATATATCAAAAATGCATGTGGGTACTCAAATGAAAGCTCTTGATAAGTGTAACATCGAGATGAGCTTATATCTTTCAAAACGTCTATATTGAAAAAAGTACAAGGCAATTTAACAAAAATTATTATTCCATAAAGGAAAATTTTATTTATTTACAGTTCACTAGTCTCGGCAGTCACATAGTGACTGCAAGGTTGCTAGTATAATATAACATAACATAAATTATTGAATGACGTGTTATTTATTGATTGTGGTTTTTCTTAATTACAGAGCCAAATACCAGGTGGTGAAAATGGTTCCCACACGATAAATGAGCTGGCAAACAATCCAATAAACGGCCCGAAATTATTTGAAGTCGTTGCCAGTGCTTTAGTGTTTCAATATGTACCGGCTGTAAAGGAAAACCAGACGTCAGAACGTGTTCTTAGTAACTCAGATAAATTTAATTGCTGGCTTGGACAGATTTTGCAAAGAGATATTGAGAGTGTGCCCATTGAATTGTGCGAGCTAGAACAGTATGGTATTGCTATTAGGATATGTTGTTTAGAGAGTCCAGATCCACCACCGACTTCTGAAGATATTGATAATGTTGAAGCTTGTCTTGAACAACAAATTGTAAGCTTATTATTATTATTATTATTATTATGTTATCTTTATATTACATTAATAAATTAATAAATTATTTTATCTGTAGGAAATTTTAAATGCAACAGTGGAACACAAAGAAAACTTTTTAAGATTAGTTAAACAAAACAATTCTCTACGTTTCGTAGACTTGCCTGGATGGGCAGGATTAGGTGGAGTACGGTATGAGCCACCAACGTGGGTTCAGATTAAGACAGATGAAACAAAAGCCGAGCTTAATAGATTGAATAATCAATTAGTTGAAGCTTTACGCAGCACAGACGCTGCATTTTCACTGGGAGAAGGCGATGATGGATTAAGTTGTGTACGCTTTGGAATGGTTACACAAGACACTGGTAAATTTTATTTCTTATGATATATAACTATAATAAATTTATTATATATATTAACAGACTAATTCGGGATATATCTTCTTAATTTAATTAGACTTAGCAAAATTAATATCGCTGGTGCTGCAAGTCGGCAGAGAAGTTGAAGCTAATTCAAAGTTATTAGATACCATTTCTGAAGTTGTCAAAAGAGGAATCGAGACAGCGCAGACAGACCTCGAGAGAGAAAATGCGGAAAAACTTTGGCAAGAAGGTATTCTCAGACACGTTCCTGTTGTTGGTACTTTTGTCAACTGGTGGAGTCCACCGCCTAAAGAAAGTGGAGTGCGGGGACGAAGTTTAAATTTGCAGGCTGGTTTGTATTTTTTTTCGCTTAATTTTGTTTATTAATTTTATTGTAATAGATGATTTAAAGTAGAACACAAATCTCTAGATACATAATTAAGAAATGACCTTGTATCTCGTGAACTATTGACATTTTTAAAGATATTAGCTCATCCCGATGTTACACTCATCAAGACCTTTCATTTGAGTACCCACATCAATTTTTCATATATTTATATATATTATGTATATGTATATATGAAAAATATATCAAAAATGCATGTGGGTACTCAAATGACAGCTCTCGATAAGTGTAACATCGAGATGAGCTTATATCTTTAAAAATGTCAATAGATCACGAGATACAAGGTCGTTTCTCAATTAGGTTAAATTGCAATGTACTTTTTTAACTAATGAAATTTTTAAAGATATAAGCTCATC